AATTCGCACTTCACTTTTCTAATAATTTAAAAAAAAAAATTTTCTGGAAAATAGAAGAAAGCACTGATATATTTATTTATAACAAAGCAAAACTATTGCTTTTATTATTATTATTGTCATTATTGTTATTTTTATTATTGTTATTATTATTATTACTTACTATTATTATTATTTATTATTGTTATTGTTATTATTATTATTATTTATTAATATTATTATTATTGTTGTTGTTGTCATTATTATTATTACTGTTGCTATGTTAAAAATTTTAATATTTAAAGAAAAATTAATATTAAATTACAATTTTTTTCTTTAATGATAGAAGTACGATATTATTTATAATACGCGAGTTACTATTCTTAGCATTAAACTTTCCATTTTTTTTTTAAATTAAATGAGAAAGAGATGGTTTGTTATGAAAAATCTGAAAATATTAGGAGAAAAAAGAGAAGAAGACGTTGCGACCGTGAATAATGACGAAAATGGAATGAAAAAAATAAAACAAAAAAGAAAAGGTAGTATGTAAAAACATAAATATACTTCATATTTTTTAGATTGTTTTCTTCTCGAAATGAGGATCAGTTTAGTGCATTTCTTCTGTTTTTCTTTTTTTTTGCTTGCTTGTTTACTTATGTATTTATGGTAAAGGATGGAAAAAGGACATGATGAGGTGGTAATAAATAAATAAAAAAAAAAAAAAAAAAAAAGGAAAAGGAAAAGAGAAAAGCGAAAAGAAGGAGAAGGAAGAAAAAACGGAAACGGTTGAGTTGATAAGTGGAAAAAGAATGAAATTTAAAGAAATGCTAAAGAAAGGATTCAAAAAGTGAAAAAAAAAAAGAGAAAAATGAAATATTCTTACAATGAAAATGAAGTGCATATATACATATATATTAGAAATTTTAAACCAATAGTAGTTTAAAATGCAGAAAAGGGAAAAGGGACAAAGAGAGATGACAGGATATGTGGACTGTATAAGAGGACAACATGTAAGTAAAATCCTTTCAACTATAATCATTGCTTACATATCGATTAAAATTTCAAAATATACATAAATGACGGTATGTATACAGACACACACATATGCATACATACATCATCTTTATTTAGTTATAAAATGGGTAAATATTAAATTTTTAAGAAATTAAGTTTTCAAGATGGAAAGAAGAAAAAAATTAACAATTGAATTAATAATGTGATTTTATTTTTAGTAATTTGATTTTATAAAAACGAGCAGGAATTTTTTCAATGATTTTAATAATGTTATTCATATTTGTATTAATATGAAATTAATTCACTTCATCTTAAAATAATAATTAAGTTCCAGATATTTAGCTTTAAAAATGAAGGAAATTTCTTTTAAAAAGATTGGTATATAAAAATTTTTTGAAAAATTGAATTTAAAATACCAATAATTTTATCATTTTGTGTAAATAAGAAAAAAAAAAAATGAAAAAAAGGTTTAACTAATCACAAAGTAATAATTAGAAAGCATACTGTATGATGTCTTTGCAAAATTGATCATTTGTCAAATATTAAAAATAATGAAAAGAAAAGATTATTTACATCGCATGATATTATAAATTTTCTAGTTATAATTTTAATAATTTATGCAACTAAATTTATCAAACTTAAAATCTTATTTCTTCTTTTCTTTTTTTTTCGTTTTTGCTTTCCTTTTCTCTTGACAAAGCTATACTAATAAAAAATACAAAGACATATATGAAAAATGATTAAAAATAAAATTGGAAATTTCTTTCTTCTTTTTGTCAAAAATATTGCCATGAAGAGACAAGAGAAAAAAACAGACGAAAGAAGATAAAAGTATAGAAAGCGAAAAAGAAAGAGAATTGTCAACTCAAATTTTTTCTTTTCTTTTTTTTGATTGAATACACGAAATTTTTTATTGATAAATAAAGGAAGAGAAAAAAAAGCTGTGAAAGGAGATATAACAGAATTGATTACGTATATATTATTAAACAAGTAAAAAAGAAAAAAAAGGTTAAAAAAATTTTGTTTTGATATAGTATAAAAATTTATTGAAGGATTATTTTATGTGGATTAGTTTTTTTTCTCTCTTTGTTGGTGTATTTGAAAATTTAAAGAAAATGGAACAAGAAGAAAAAATGACCTTCATTCATAAGTTTGATGGAATGGACATCAAATGGCGCTCTAGCCAACATTAAAAAGAAAAAGTAACAAAAAAAGCAAATATAAAATTCAATAAAGCAATAAATTAAATTAAAAAAAATTATTATGCATTTTATTTGATTGAATTTTTAAACAATGGCTATAGGACATTTATATGTGCTTTTTTCTCATTCCTTATTATAAAAATAGGGAAAAATTTTTTAACTTTTCTTTTTAATTTTTTTTTTTTTTTTTTTTTTTTTTTAAAGGATAAAGACTGTGATTTAACAAAAATACTTTATAAAACACAATAATCAAGCGAGAAAAAACGATTTCATTTTTCTTCCATTTTTGATTTTTTTCCTTTAATTTTTAAAAGTATTAGTTAGTTAAGTTCAAAATTTTAACACGTTGCATGAATGAACCCATCAATGAGAAATTTTTAACATTATTTAATAAAAGTTAAAATCCTCCAATTCCACGTTAATAGCACATAGAATTTATGGCGAAATTAGAAACAAGAGAAGTGACAGGTCTTTTTTGTTAATTCTGGTCATTTAATAATGTTCTATCATACTAAATTCTTTAATATGCTATTTTAAAAATATTTTCAACTATTTATTCAATTACATTAATCCTATAATTATTAATTTTAAAACTTTAAGGGAATTATTATATTATATGATATTACAAATTTGCTTTTGTTATAAAGTAAGTGAGATTAAAAAGTAAAATTTCTTTCTTACGTCTAAAAGTTGATGAATAACGTGAAATTTTTGATGTATTTATATGCAATCAAATATAATCGGATAAATGTAAAAATTTTCCTTGATTTGTATATTTGTTAAATTTTTGTTTGAAAATTTCTTATGTTTGATCACTTTACTTATCATTTATGACAATAAAGATCCATTTTTTTTTTTTTTTTATTGATACATAACTTCCATTTTAAAGATTGATTACTTTTTTATGTTAGTCAGATTAGATTTTGTTACATTAATCAGATTAAATTTTGGAATTATGCAATCGTTTCGTGTACATGTTAAGAATGATGAAAAAAAAAGTCATTATATTATATAATATATCTCGCCATAATTTTAAAATTTAACTATTTGTTAAATTTTTAAGACTTATAATAAAGTTTTCCCCTTTTCTGTTCTTCTGTCAATTTACGAATTTGTACTTTACTTATTTATGCACTTCTGCATTATATATTAGTTAATTACTTTCTATTTTCAAATAAATTTATGTATCTGGAATTTTGTAAATCGACAGTAATCTTACAGTGGAATTTTTCCAGACAAGTTTTTTCACGTTTGTAATTAATTTGTTTTACAAATTAATTAAAAATTTTAAGTTTAAAGGAAAAAAAATTAGTGTAATACATTTTTTGTAATATCGATGTTAGTTTAATTATGACTTTGAAAAAGTAAATTATGGTGTATAAAAAGTAAATTGTCATATATTATTGATGATTTCAATGCTGAATTTATCTCAAAGCTCAAAGACACTGGTTTATAAAAATATCAGAATTCATTAAAATAATTGATGAGTTAATTTTTGAGAGGCACAAATTTTTTTCTTTTTGTTTCCACTAAAAATGAATTTTTATGAATAAACAAACTAGAATAGCATTTGTTACAGCCATTGTTAAAATGTTACCTCTTTTTTAACCTGCGGAATTATCAATGATGTGTGTGCGTCCGCGCATAACTAATACACAGCAAATGCCATGATTATTGCAAGAAGTATCAAGATAACTATCAGAAAATCCTTATCGCAATCACTGTATACTGTAGGAATATCGGGATTATGTAGAAAATTTTAAAAGTATTACTGTAAGAGATCATGATCACTGTGGAAAATGTTACGATCACGATAAAAATATCGTATTTGCCTTGGGAAATGCCACGATAATTTAAGAAATGTCAAGATTACTGCAGAAAGTGTCATTACTTATATGATTACTATATTATGATCATATCATAATAATATCATAACTGGGTAAGAAGTATCATTGTAATTGTAATTGTAGTTACCGCAGAAATCACGGTTGCTGCAGGTTTACCATAGAAAATATCATGATTGATATAGGAAATGTTATAATTACAGTGGTCGTCATGGTTAAAAATGTTGCGTTTACTGTAAAAAGTATCGTGATTGCTACAAAAAATATTACCGTAGGAAACGTCATATTTACTGTGGAAAATAGCATGATCTCAACGAAAATATCGTAATTACTGTGACAAATGTCTTCGAAAATGTCGGGATTATTGTCTATATCTTATGATTACTGTAAGAAATGTTATGTATGAACGAACACATTACTACAAAACTATTGCATGAAATGTCATAGTGTGATACGATTATTTAGGAAATTTCACGATCACGATAATATAATGACGACTGTAGCAAATATCATGAGTGCTTTAAGGAATATTATTAGTGTAACAAATGTCGTGATTACTGAAAAAATATCGTGATTATTGTGAGGAATATCACGATTACTACTATTATAGGATATATCATGACTACTGTGAGAAATGTTGATTACTGTAGAAAATATTGTGATTACTGTATGATATTCACTTTTTTATGAAATATCGTTATGATTAGTGAAATTCGAAAGTTGTGTGTATGTTGCATTTATCAACATTTTGTTCGAAATCTGTGATGAAAATGAAAATATGGCAATCACTTTCCTTACAATCATTCAATGTCTCTCGAGATGATTTAAAATGGTACCATGTCTCTCGAGAGATCTAAAATGTAACAGTTCGAAGGAAACTAACCGAAGCATTTATTATTTTAGCAAAATCAAGAAATATGCACAAATATAATTAAAATTTTATTGAAGCATGAAATATCTAGAATTATTTTTCGAACAAAGAACAATGATCAGATAATTTCTTACTCAACCATAAACTGGAACCGGATAACTTGATGTTATGCCATAAGCGTTTCTCTTTTCCGGCTTTCGTACTATAAGTATACGTATATCTGCAAGAATTTTATTCGTTATAAAATAACTTTAAGTATCTTTCCAAAAAGAGATTTACAGAAAATTATTTGTATAGTATAAAAAAAGGATTTGAAAAAAAAGTGAAAGAAAATAATATAATTTTTTTTTGTAGAGAAAAAAAAAAATTAGATAAAAAAAAATTGATAGGTACTTTTTTGGAAATTTGTAAAAAAAGAAGTTAGGTATAACCACAAACAAATTAACCATTCTGATTTTTTCAATTATAAGTTCGGAAATTTATTATGAAAATTATGTGATTCAAATTTCTAAATCTATAAACTGCACAAAAATGTAAGAGCAGAGTGAAAAAGCAGGAAAAACAAGGACTAATTTTATTTTAAATTCAGAAAATTCAAGGAATAGAGTGGAGAATGAAGGCGGAAAATAGAAAGAGAATGGAAAACAAAATATGCCAATGCGGTGTTTAAATATAAGTTACATATTTAATTAGTAAAATAATTTATGTTTTTTAGTACGGAAAAATATTACTTGATAACAATTGGTGAATGCGAAGCACTTATGCAAAATAAATGAGGTACTGTAAAGAAATCTGCATCAAATCGAATGTTTACTATACCGCTTGCATATACCATTGTTGTTGCCTTTCCAATTAAATTATTTGAAGATGCCAAATTTATGCTTCCCTCAAGTTTTGTTGATATACTGCATGAAATAATAAGAAATAAAATATTTCTTCAAAAAAAAAAGAAAAAAAAATGAAAATGAAAAATCGGCTAAGTTGTAAATAAAATATAAAATAAATTAATAAATGATTTTGGAATTTATCAAATAATTGATAACATACGTAGAATTAACTTTCATCCCAACATCTCTATTCCAGAAGTTTATTGTTGCAGAACCGTATAAATCAATTGTTATTGTGCCAATAACATCAACTGTTAGTGATAATCCACTCATTAATGGTATATAACCATAATATTGGCGGTAAATTAGGTTCTTCTGCAAACAATTATAATTTTATTTTAATTTCTCATCATCATTTGATTTAATTTAAATACATTTGCTTATAGCACTTAAACTTGACTACTAATTTTTAATTAAGAATTTTTTACAGTTAATGCAAAATCTATCAGACCGAAAAAGGAACAAAAAGAGGGAGGAGGATGGGGAAGAGAGAACGAAAGAAAGAAAAAGTTGAACGTTATATATATATTGTAAAAATTAACGTATCGAAACCACTTTATTCTATTGAGCAAATTAAATCAGTCTAATAATCTAATTAAACTGCAAGAAATTGCTGACTATTCATCGAAATATTTAAAAATTAATAAATAACAACAACTAACACTTGACAAAATAGAAAAAAATATTTTTTAAAAATTTAGAATTTGACAATAATTAAAAACAAACATCATAAAGAAGCATTGGTTGACCATTAGCATTCCAGATAACATTAATTAATTCACCATATCCGTGAAAAATTGTAACTGGTACGTTACGATTATTCAACAGGCCTATTTGAGCTATTGCCAATGGATCATCAGATTTTCCTTCTTCGTCGCTATTGTAACTTTCGGATTCTAACAGATATGATTTCATTCCTTTCATTTCAGTGAATATCTGTGCAAAAATTAAAATACAACATTTTTAAACAAAACGATGAAAAAACAAAAAAAAAGAAAGTTAACTTTATCAATCGTAAAACTTTAATGAAATTCTTTTTGCTTCATTTTCATATTTTTTTTAATTATATGTATGACTGATAATTTGAAAATTTTTCAACAAATTTTAAGACTATAATGCTTAATGTTTCAGTTTCAGGTGATATTTAACGTATCCTGCTAACTAATTATGTATATATAGAACGTGCGACTGTAACAATTAAACATTGTATACATAGCACATGCTAACAATTAAACACTTCAATAAGAAAATAAATAAAAATTTTTTATTTATTAGAACAAACATAGATCACATAAATTATATATCATGATATTTATTCAATACCATTTCTTTTCATTTGAGCATTGAAAAAAGGGATTGAATAAGATTATTAAGATTATTTATGATTTTATAATGTACATATTATTATTATTATTACTGTTATTTACTTACACAAAATGTATTGTAATAATTTTATCAAAAATTTTTCAGTTTAGTGTAGAATAACGTATAAACATATATTTTTGGTGATTTTTTTTTTCCAATAATCGATGCAAGAAAAAGGAAGATCGGTTGACATTAATGATTAAATGTGATCAATTCAATTACTTAGCATTTTTGATCTATTTTGCACAATGTCTTGATCTATTTAGTCCTTCATAGTAGTTCATTAAGATAATTACTATAATTTATAAACAAACCTGAAGAAGAGGAAATGATGGTCGTTTCGTTGAGGTTAACAAAATTGAAAAAACGTTCCATGATAAAATACCCTTATCACTAACTGTTTTAATCCACACTGTTATATTGTTACCACTACCTAATTCTATAATATATATGTTTATTTAAATCTAAAACATCATTAAATTTTATTAATTAATGAAAATTCTTATCTAATTACTTCAAATTTTACAAATAGAACCATTGAAAAAAAAGTGAGGGAAAAAAGAAAATTAAATGATATTTTATAAATTTTAAAATAAAGAAATACATGGGATTGAAAGCGAAAGAGAGATAAAGAGAGGAAGTGAGAGAAAAGGAAAGAGAAAAAGAAGTGAAGGTTAAATTTTATTACTTATGATTACATAACGAACAGCAAAAATAATAAATAGAGAAAACAATTTTTCACTTAATACAAAATATATCAAATATCTGTTATATCTTATTAATCATATCAGTTATCTATAATATCGTATTGACTATATCAACTTTTCAAATCCGTAACTGTTTTAAGCCATACTTGACTATTTTCATAGATAATTAACCATATCTAATTGTATAAGCTTACCTATGATATTTCATTAATTATATCAATTATTTGCTATATTTATTTAATTATATTAATTATCCACGATGTGTCACTGATTGCATTAGTTATCTGCAACATCTTGTTTGTTATGTCAGACGTTTGCGATATCTTATCAATCATAGTTACCTGCGATATTAATTGCAGAAACATCTGAGGTAGCGTTTAAACTACGATGTGCATAATTCGGTTGAAATTCTCGAAATGAACGCATTTTGGCCCAGTATGATTTGAACTAAAAATAGGTTTTAAATTTTCAGTTTCTTTTTAACATTTAAATCCATGTCATTTGCATATTTGTATTTAAAATTTACTTACATTTGGTGAAGTTTGCCGCTTTCGAGCAATGCTGCTATAAAAGTAAGCCCATTTTTCTTGCTCTGCTGGAAAAAGTTCTTCAGACCTACAATCGTCGGCATTTTGGTTCAGAATAAATTATGAACAAAAATTAAATGATAAATCAAACTGAAAAAAAAAGCTCCTAAAGATAAACTTCTTAAAACAAAAGAATACTATGCAAATAAAATTTCAAAATATCAACAATTCGGAAGAAGTTTGAAAATAATCCTAAAATTGCAACTATCATGATGACTGCTAAATATTTAAAATATTCTCACAATTTTTTTATTCCTCCAATTCTTTATCTACTATTTTATTATTACCTATAGTTTTGATATTAACTATTAATAAATCTTTCTCTTTAATATATTTATAATATCAGAAATGCACTTTATGATAGTAGCGTAACTTCACGCTAAACGTGATCGCATATCATCTTTTCTCTAGACTAAATAGTTTCATTTTTGTACGCTATCAATTGTAATTAGTTTGATATTCAAATATTTTAAGAAAAATGAAGTAATAAAAAACCTTAAGAAATATGTCCCAATTAATTCTGCATTTGGTATAATATTTAGTAATATCTCAATGGCAAGCGTTTGATCAGTAATTGTTTGACGTAACGGACATGCATTATAAAAGATACGAAGTAATTTGTTAATTGTCTGAAATGCAATAATTAAAATGAAAAAATGTTTTCATTAATTGAAATGCCTTTTTTTCTTATTGAAAAATTTTAGAAAAAGAGATGGAGAAAAAACTAATTGAAATTTCATACCTTCCAATGAAAATATTTTCCATCAAAAAGTTGAAGAAATCGTAGTGCTTCTTGTTGAACTAAGTTTTCACTATTATTTGCAACACATAGAAATTGAATTGCATAAGGTAATAAACTAAATTTGATACGTAAATACATATATTTATAAATGAAATGTAAGACTTTTTTTTTGGAAAAATCCAAAATTTTCAATTATATAAAATAATTTTGAAGTAAGAAAAAATGTAATATATTAAATTTGCTTGCTATTTTATAAATTAAATTTTTTTAATTCTTATCATTTGTAATTATCTTTAAATTTAGCTAAAATGAAATTTAAAATGTTATTTAAAAAAAAATAGATTTATAAACAAACTTTAATAATGGTAAATTTTCAAAAATTTGCAGTGCGTTTATTTGACAGTCGCTATCCTTGCACTGTGCAATGATAGATTTCGTGAACTCATTTATATCCTTAAAATGAATTTTAAATATTTTTCAAAAAATTCAATGTAATTTCGTTAGATTTAAAAATGATTTCAATAATATTTCATTCAATGCAATGTTGTTTAATTTAAATTTGTAATATTTCTACATCATTTTTCCCATTTTTGCATGCATATTTGCGACTTTTTGTTGATTGACAATAGCGACGATAAAGATTTGCAATAGTAAATGCTATCTGTTTCGCATAATATTTGTCGTTTGTATTTTTCATCCAAATCTAAAAATTAATGTAATTTGCAAATTTTTCCTCAAACTTAATTTTTTTCTCTTTCTTTTTTTAAGAAGACAAAAAGAAATTTTAGGTTCATTTCTATAGTTTTCAAATAATTATTATGATAGAAAATTAAAAAGTAATGATTTAATTTCCTGATTGATAAATGATAAGCAAAAAAGAAAATAATAACATATATAATAATACTTTAAGATCATTGATGATAGCAATATCAATTTTTGTGGTTTGTGAAAGTGCTTGCAGGAAACGTTCTAAAAATTCCGGCGCTTCAGTTGTAAAAGCGTTTTTACCAACCGTATATGCTGTCATTGTCCCGGCTAATCCAATAGCGTCCACAAATACTGACCTATAATAATAGACCTGCCAAGAGGACAAATCTGTAATTAGCCTATCAATTGCTATTTTAAATGAAAAAGTATGTAGCATTAAAATTAAACAAAAATAGCTTATTTCAATCTAATTGATTACATTAAGTTTTAGCAAAACAATTTAAACCATACATAATTGGCATATTCCGGAATTCCCTTATTGCATCCAATAAATCCTGATCCGTTGCGAATAATACACCATTCACAATTGCCGCTAAACCATCCGTTTTCTTGTCCGGAAATTCGCTGTTGCTTTTTTTTAACACTAGTTTTAGCTGTAAAAAAAGAAAGAAATAAACACTTAAAATACTCAGATTTTCATTTTTCGTCTGATTTTTGTTTAAATTTTTTTAGAAAATTCCAAGAATTCCCGTAATGATAAAAAATACCACGTTTACGTATACATTAGAAATATTATTTTGTCTTTTTATACAATCAATTTAAAACATAAATAGATGCAACCGATTTTAGAAACTGAAATTGTGCATATATTATACTTCTTATTCTTTTTTTTTATTGTAATGATTTGTTTATTTATTGCATAATTTATCTTATTAATTGTATGTTATTTGATATTAAATTTATACTTAAAAATTACGAAAAATAATTTTACAAAAAAAGTCGAAAGAAATAAATAAGAATAAATGATGAAAATAATATTTCAAATATACTTGACAATTTTTTTCTAAAAAAAACTGGATTATAAAAGATGAAAACTATAACATGGATTTTTACAAAATTTTATATAATTTATATTATTGTTGTTTGCTGTTTAAGATAGTAGAAATGAATGAAATATATTTGAATTTCCTAACTATTTACAATGAGGCAAGATAATTGAATGCTTTAAACATCATTTTCCCTTTTTCTTTCTCTTTTTTTAAAATTATATGATACAGGATGCGTGAATTTTATAAAATTATTTCTCCTAATTTTTGAGTATAAATTTAATATCAAATAATATATAATTAATAAGCTAAATTATGCAATAAATAAATAATTAAAACACAAAAAAATAAGAAGTATAATATATGCACAATTTCAGTCATGTTTTAGTCATATGAAAAGGTGAAAGACATTCAGTTAGTTAGCATTTACTTATCCATCATATCCTTTCCATTCAATTCTATCCATCACTATTCATTTGTTCAGCAATATTTCTAACTATTAAATATTTTTACAAATGTTCTCCCTTCTTTTTCCTTTTTGATAACAGTGAATTTTTCAGGATGACAAATCTTTCTCTAATTTATAATCACACGAAATTTATTTGAATTGGATAAGAGAGAAAACCCATTTTTATCACAATCTCGAAACTTTTTTCTTTTTTTTTGCTCAATGACAATGATTTATCTACTGATTTATCTCAGTAATGAACAAAAAATACTCTCTAAATTCTCGGATAATATTTTTCCAACATTTATTTCATTTTTTAGTTTAATTCATCAAATCAGATCAGATTAATTTTGATGAAAATGTATGACTAACCAAAATTTATTGAACTACATGAAAAGATTAGAAAAGTGTATACATATAAACAAGTAGACAAATAAGTGATAAATAAATAAGCAAATAAATATATATTTACCTTTGACTTCTCCTTTTTCACACCTATATTCAATTTTTGATTAATTTCCTTCCAATTTCGGCCCATTCGTTTTGTTTTGAATACAGTTTGAGCGCATTCATCAGCTAATAATTTCGTTGAACAAAAAGGTTTGCCAAAAATAACGGTACGATTTGTCATTTTCATTTTTGCTCTTCAACAAGAAATAACAAAAGCAAAATTCGATACCAATACAAATTAAAACAGTAAATTAATGTAAATAAAATTTTAAACTCTGGATTTAAAGAAAAGAATTAAATTTTTTTTTCAAAACTAAACTTCCTTCATTTTATTTCAAAAAAATTATGTATTTTTCGGGAGATATGAAGCATTCTGCATGTATAATTTGCATTTAGTTAAAAATGTAACATATTCAGCATGCATAACTTATTATTGTAGTACTACTTTAATAAAGTTATATTAAAATATACGTATTGTTCAGAAATTTTATAAACATAATATAAAATTAAAAATAATATTTATTCTAACACATATACTTAGCTATAATTCAACCGATAAACATACTGAGTTTCCACAACTAGGCTCCAGTCAGGAATGATCAAACTTTTTAGAATCATTTTCTCTTCAGCTTCAATATCAATAATATCAGCATTTGATTTTGTATTTTGCCTAAAATATAATTCAATTTCTTTTTTTGAATAATGAATAAATGTGTAAATAAATGATATATTACAAAAAAAGTGTACACAATTAAATAATACATTTAAATGAATCACAAAGAAGATATCATTTGAAAATTTAATAAAACATATGAACAGGTATTATTTATTCAGTCATTTAACATCTATCAATTTTTTTTCCCTCCTTTTTTTAAATCTTTTTTTTTTCAAATTGTTTTATTATTTGTAAAACTATCTTAGATTAGTTCGTTAATATTATTAACTATCATCCATCAAATAACATACATGTAAATAACAGAATGTTGATAGTTATGTTGTGTAATGTCATCATTTATTCTTGTAAAATTACGAATACCATCAAATTGACAATGGCTTATTTGCCTTCGAAATATTTTGTCGCGTGGTTTTGAGAAACGATAATGACAGAGACCATATGGTGTGATATGAAATTTGAAAATGATTGCAAAAAAAAAAAAAAAGTTCATTGTTAAATGAGTTGAAATTTTTAACGCTTTCATTTTAAATTATTCAATTTTTAGATTTGGTAGACAATACTGAGAAATTTATTTTTAAGAAAAAAAAATGCAAAAATTAATTGTAACATTATAGTGATGATTTTTTTTTTAAATTTAGAAAAATTTTCAAATTTTTACACTATAACATATTACCAAAAAAAAAATAATAAAGTTGAAGCAAATTTTTTCGAGAAAAAAGGAAAAAGTACAAATTTATTTCATTTCCATATCAAATGAATTTTCACTAGTAATGATGAATGATAGGATTTGTAAATATTAATATACAATTTGCTTTTTTCTAACTGTTATTATATTAAAGAAATGCATTCAATAAAGCATTATCAAATAATTTAGCAATTAAATAATTGATTAATTCATCATACGTGTGTGTATAAAGGGCCTAAATAATTCGAACGAAAAAAAGAAAGAGAGGAAATTTAATAACTTACAACATCCTGCTCATCTCCATCACCAATTTTAGCTGGTGTCATCGTTGCATAAATGATTGCAAAGAGGACATTCCAGTTTACTTTCCAATTTTTTTCATCTAATATTGTTGCTACATATAATCCTTCCAAATTATTTCCACCTTGGATAAAATTAACATAAACATCTGGCATATCATAATGACATGAGCCACTAATGCATTTTAGGAACTGAAATATTTAATTTATTTATCTATTCGTGTTTATTTGTTTGTTTTGTTTGATTTATTTCAAACTAATAATGATAGTAACAATATCTTATCTTTTATTTTTCCTTATTTTGAACATTAATTAGTTATTCATTATTCATGTGTTAATTTAGATTAATTTTAAAATAATACTCTAGAGATAAAGGAATGAGTAATACATTATATTTAATACGATGGATGCATTCATTTATTGCTTATTTATTTTTAATATGTTATTAAAAAAATGTGTAAAATATTGATTTAAAGGAAGCTATTAAATGTAAGTGATGAATTCAGATATTGAAACTTGAAATATGAATTAATATCTTTAAGTTATTCATATAAATGCGACTATTAAAAATTTTATTTATTAAATACACATGTATTATAAACATTCTGGTTTTTTCATAATGCAATTGACATCTTTTACATCTTAACCATAAAAATTACTAAAAGATAAATTAGATTGAAATTTAAAATCTTGATATTAATAAACAAAAGTGATGAGATGTAGTAACAGCAATTTTAATTTAAGATCACCTTATTTCAGTTTTTTGCTTAAGTCATTAGATTTTTTTGCAATCATTTCTTGCCAATGCGATTAATAGATTGGTTACTTAAATTTCAAAACTACTTTCTTATTCTTTTTTTTCTGTTTTGTCTTCGTTTTTCTTTTTCTTTTTTTTTTATTTTTGAATAGACTTGCCATCATCTTATATTTAAATTTCATATTTAAACTGAAATCATTTAGCATTCAATATCTATTATTCTACAATTTAGCACTATCCTATTTCTATCTTTCCATTATTTCTTTCGCATAGTTTTTTCAAATAAAATACGATAATTTGTAACGTTTTGCATAATGAATATTATTCAAAAGTAATATTTTGAAAATTTTTGAGCAAAAATTTTATTAGAAATTGAATAAACTAAAGCAAAGACAAATCCGATATGGTAGTTAAATGAAAAACTTAGCATTGAAATTGATCAGAAATAATCTTTATACTGAAGTTACATAAAAATAAATTTGGTATATAAAAATAAAAACAAACCTGATATCGACCAAGAATTTTACCAGCAGGGTCATAATGTAGGATATGAAAAGAATAAGTTGCGTTTATTATTTCAATAATACTTTCATCCAATTTTGTTCTTTCTTCATAAATTCGTGTCATAGACCAAAAATTATACTCATAAAGAAGATATCTAAAAATGCACTAATTATTATTCATCATTGTTATTGTTGTAGTAAAATAAATAGCATATTAACATTATCATTAATAGATGAAAAGATGTGAGAAAGGATGAAAAAAGAGCAAGATATCATTGCAGATTATTTCTAAAATTCTTTAAATAATTCTATCAATTATTTCTTGAAATATTTTAATTGAATTATTGATCAGTTAAAACTATCCAAATAAATAATTCTAATTTTGTTAAATTATATTAATTTCAAACCTTTCTTTCTCTTCAACATTATGAGAAAGTTTCACTTCTACATTTCTATCATTTGGTACTTTAATATTCTTGCTAGCCTTTATTACGTACGACAAATCTAAAGAAGTAAAAGTAGTCATAAAAAGGTTCAAAAAATAACCAAAAAATAGTCTGAATATAAAGTTGTGCAATGAATTACACAATCGTTTGTAAATCTGATAATTATTTAACAAAAGTCAATAAATATATGCCGAAAAATATGATAGTGATTATTTGTTATTATTTACTAAATAATACTTTGATCAAAAATTTATGAAACGAACCAATCAAGTATAATAGTGAAATTATAAGCATCGTTTTTAGTGCCAACAATGCCTTTACAATGATACTGATAAGACACTGATTACAACATATACATAACATATTCCATCCAGTTATCACCAGTGTAAACCTTCAAGTTATGAACGATAAAAATATCAGTGGTAAATGGAAAGTTTATATACTTTGTGAAACATAATTGAACAAAAAATATAATCATTAATACATCTATTAAAACAAAAAAGAAAAATAAATAAAAATGGAAAAAATCTCTAATCATAATAAGTTAAGAATTTTAAAAAAAGGAAAAAATCAATGTATTTGTAAATATTAGCAAATTTTTATGCTTATCACACAGTTTTTCTGCATTTTTTAAAGTTATAAAAAAGTTTAAAAAAAAAAAAAACTACACAATTTCTTTACATATTAACATATTTTGCGCGTTTATTTTTAGAGTTTTCATTGGATTAGTTTTTCCGGAAATTTCATCATAACATTATTCACTTTATAATTTCTTGCTTTCTTTCGCTTTCTCTTTTTCTCCACTTCTTCATTTGTTGCTTTAAAATTCCAAACAATTACAATCACTTACATTGATCAATTCAAAAATATTTTGTATGATAGTAACAAAATTGAAATATTTCAACCAGTATCAATTAATTTATTTTATCTGTTTCTTTTGACAAATAATTTATTTTCATGCATTTATTCAATTTTAATAGCATATAAAATTTGATAAAATAGTCATACATGTTTTCGTTTTTCAAAATTTCTAATGAAATAAACAATTTATTATATAAAATATGAATACGTTGAAAGATTTTTCTCCTTCAATTTTGATTTAAATAAATTCCTCTTTTTTTTGATTGTTTGTTTTTGTTTAAGTGACATTAATCATTTCTGACATAATAAATTTCATTTTTTCATTTTTTTTTTTCTAAAAATCAGAAATTTCTTTTTAGTTTCTTATAATGCATTACTTGTTGTGATAGTTTGAAATAAGCAAAATATTTCTAGAAAAAGAAAAAATAGCTTTTTTTTTAAAAAAAAATTGGTTTTATTCATATTTAGAAAAAAAATGTTATGTGAATAATTTTTTTTTTTTTTTTTTTTCGTTAACTAAAATGTTATGCGATAAAAGAGATTAGTTAACATTGAAGTGAAAATATTTCGATTTCTCCTCATACATACACATATTTGAGCCTAAAGGCCAAATATAGAGCTTAGGGAAAATGTTAGAATGAGAATGTGAAAGAAAGAGAAACAAACGGATAGTTTTAAAATTGATTTTTCGAATATGAATGATTTTTGAGGAGCAAAAAGCTTCTGCTTTATATGTATAATGCTTATATGCATAGTGTAAAAGAATGAAATTAAAAGTTTTTGTGGTCGCATATATATACATATATGTCGCCAATATAAATGGTTGTAAGACTAATATGATCTATCTATCTATCTATCTATCTATCTATCTATCTATCTATCTATCTATCTATCTATCTATCTATCTATCTATCTATCTATCTATCTATCTATCTATCTATCTATCTATCTATCTATCTATCTATCTATCTATCTATCTATCTATCTATCTATCTATCTATCTATCTATCTATCTATCTATCTATCTATCTATCTATCTATCTATCTATTATCTATCTATCTATCTATCTATCTATCTATCTATCTATCTATCTATCTATCTATCTATCTATCTATCTATCTATCTATCTATCTATCTATCTATCTATCTATCTATCTATTATCTATCTATCTATCTATCTATCTATCTATCTATCTATCTATCTATCTATCTATCTATCTATCTATCTATCTATCTATCTATCTATCTATCTATCTATCTATCTATCTATCTATCTATCTATCTATCTATCTATCTATCTATCTATCTATCTATCTATCTATCTATCTATCTATCTATCTATCTATCTATCTATCTATCTATCTATCTATCTATCTATCTATCTATCTATCTATCTATCTATCTATCTATCTATCTATCTATCTATCTATCTATCTATCTATCTATCTATCTATCTATCTATCTATCTATCTATCTATCTATCTATCTATCTATCTATCTATCTATCTATCTATCTATCTATCTATCTATCTAATTAATTAATTAACTGCTTTATAACTTTAGTTTGGCTTTTTTTCTGTTTCTTTTTTTATATTTTTGTAAAAAAAGACTGCATACTATATACTTTTTTCTAATCTAGCTTAAGGCTTGTATTTAATGTTTCAATATTTGCTCCATTAGTTGTAAGTTTTCTTTTATAATACGCTAGCTCAAGCTATAGTGTGTATATTTGTTATTTGAAAGAAAAAAAAAAACGTGATTTTTTATTATTTAGCCTCAAGCCTTTTTTCATGCCTCCTTTTTTTTTAATAGCTTGTCACAAAGAAAAATCCCATAATAGACAGCCCAAACGATATACTTTGCAAATGGTCATACCATATTGAAAGTGAAAAAAAGAGAGAAAGAGAGAATTAATGCAGAAAAAAAAAAAAAAAAGAA